TACCGTTTACAAGTTTGGGCTTGGTACAGTTTTTGTTTTGTTTGTGTTTTCCTAAAAAATATGGTAAAAACGAATTTGTGAGAATTTTTTTTTTTTTTTTATGTAATGTATTAACATTTTCAGCATCATTACTCCAGTCTTCAGTGTCACATGGTCCTTCAGAAATCATTCTAATATGTGACCTTGGAGCACAAAACCAGTCATAAGTCGCTGGGGTATACATTGTATGGGTCAAAATTATAGATTTTTCTTTTATGCCAAAAGTCATTAGGATATTTAGTAAAGATCATGTTCCATGAAGATATTACTAATCAAAACTTAATTTTTGATTAGTAATATGCATTGCTAAGGACTTCATTTGGACAACTTTAAAGGTGATTTTCTCAATATTTTGATTTTTTTGCACCCTCAGATTCCAGATTTTCAAATAGTTGTATCTATCTATTGTAGACCCTTATGACTGGTTTTGTGGTCCGGGGTCACATATGCTGATTTGCTGCTCAAGAAACATTTCTGATTATTATCAATGTTGAAAACAGTTGCACTGCTTTATATTTTTGTGGAAACTGATAAATTTTTTTCAGGGTTATTTCAATAGAAAGTTTAAAAGAACAGCATTTATTCGATTTTTTTTTTTCTGTCAATGTAAATATCTTCACTGTCAGTTTTGAACAATTTAATACAGCCTTGCTGAATAAAAATAATATATCCTTAAAAAAAAATCTTACTGACCTCAAACTTTTGAATGGTAGCATATATATAATTTTTCCACCCACCCCTGTTATGCATATGTGAAAGATATTGAAGATAATCCTGTATAGGGAATGTGTATTTATTTTTGTCTGTGTGGTTGTGTGCAGGGAATATTTTACTGGTAGATGGAAATGCATGCGGAGAGATAAAGATCACAGATTTCGGACTGTCTAAAATCATGGACGATGACAACTATGGAGTAGATGGGATGGACCTGACATCGCAAGGGGCAGGCACTTACTGGTAACACGCTCACAGATACACTCGCGTTTTGGCCTTTGCCTTTAAAAGCATGTAACTCAATCGTGTCTGGTTTCGGCTGTAAGGTACTTACCCCCGGAGTGTTTTGTGGTGGGTAAAGAGCCTCCAAAGATCTCCAATAAGGTGGACGTCTGGTCTGTCGGTGTCATATTTTTCCAGTGCCTCTATGGAAGAAAGGTGAGGAGCAATTATCTGAATAAATGGGAAGATTATCAGTAGCATCTACAGGTTACAGTGTAAAAAGGAAATAGCTGTCATTGTCCTGATTTCTAGTACACCTGGCCGATTGCATAAAACGCTTAGACTAGTCTTAAAAAGTTAGTCATCTAATTTTTTTCTTCAAGACTGGTCATAACTTTTTAAAGTCAGTTATAAAAAGGGACAATGGTCTAATTTGAATCCAAAATGTAAGTTTGATTACTTCTTGGCTAACTACTAGTTGGTCGAACTTGACGTAGTGGCTATGTTTATGCAGCTGGTCCCTGTAGAACTA